CTGACGGCACTCCAGGCGTGCCAGTGATACCACCCACCACCAAGGTCGGCGACTATTAACCACCTATCAACCCCTATTGGGCCACGCACGCACACTATTTTCAATCATTTTCGTCACCAACATCGGCGACCATCATTCACTTACCGACCCCTATCGGGCCACACACACACACTCTAATCATTCTATTAACCACCTATCGACCCCTATTGGGCCACGCACGCACACTATTTTCAATCATTTTCGTCACCAACATCGGCGACCATCATTCACCTACCGACCCCTATCGGGCCACACACACACACTCTAATCATTTTCTCCTGTCACCTATATCGGCGACCACTAGCCATCTCTCGATCCATACCAAGCCACGCACGTACACTATTTTCATTCACTTGTGTCACCAACATCGGCGACCATTAGCCATCTCTCGATCTATACCAGGCCACTCACACACACTCTGAGCATTCTCTCCCGTCACCGATATCGGTGACCACTAACCATCTCTCGACCTATACCAAGCCACGCACGCACACCATTTTCATTCACTTGCGTCACCAACATCGGCGACCAACGTCCACCTATCGACCCCCATCGGGCTACACACACACACACACTACTCCTTCTCTCCCACTGCCTCTCTCCGCCCGCTACATGCGAGATGTCCTAGATGCCCCTACTCACACCGTTCTTCTCCCCCAAGGCTCCAGCTACCCCACTCCACTCCCTCAAGCATCTCACTCACTTGGTAGACCATTCTCTTTCCCCAGCATTCACTCACTGCCTCTCCCTACCTCTCTCGGACTACATTTTCCAGCCACACCATCTTTCTCACCTCACTCACCCCTCGGATCCTTCCCTTCCCCAGCGTTCACCCACTGCCTCTCCCTATCTCTCTCTCGAACTACGTCCTCGCGCTACAATATCTTCCTATCTCCTCTCGAGTTACTCACACCACCCGTTCTCTCTCCCACAGCTCACTAACCTCACACCTCTTCCTCTCTCCTCCCACGTTTCTCGTACAATCCGCTCACTCACACACATTTCACACACATCTTCCTCTCTTTCCCCGCGTTCCTCACACAACTCATTCCCTCTCACACCGCTCACTAACCTCACACATCTTCCTCTCTCCTCTCGCGTTGCTCACACAACCCGCTCTCTCCCGACCTCCACTCACTCCACGCTCCTATCACTCTCCCGGCCTCCACCCGTGCCGTCACCTTCTCCCTCTCTCCTCCCGCAATTCTCACACGACCAACTTCCTTCCACCCGCTTTACTACACATACTCACCCTACACGCCCTCCTACGTACACCGCTACTTCCATAAGCCGTGACCACGTACGCCACACATCCAAACATTTCAAACTCAAATCAACACACGTATTTGAAGTTTGTTACCGTACCTCCCATTTTCATCTTCCTTCTTTCGGCCGAATATGCTATCACCGTCCGCGATCTCCTCTTCTCTCCGCTCCGCTTCCTTTTTCTCTTCTTCTGGAACCTTCCTTCCTCTCCTCTTTCTCTTTCCTGTTCCCCTTCTTCCTCTGTTCTTTTTCCCCTTTTTTTCTCTTTTCTTTCTCCTCCTTCATTCTCCCGCCCCCTACTTATATCACCCCAGTTTTTCCTCAAAACGGCGTCATTTTTCCCCTTGCAAAACGACGTCGTTTTTCCCTTTTGCAAAACAACGTCGTTTTCTCACCTCTGTGAAACGACGTCGTTTTCCCTTCCCTCTCTCTCCTTTTTT